TCACAGAGACTGGAAGGTACACGCACTGTTGGGGTTCATGAGAGATGGTCACAGAGACTGGAAGGTATACGCACTGTTGGGGTTCACAATAGCTGGTCACAGAGACTGGAAGGTAGACGCACTGTTGGGGTTCATGAGAGATGCTCACAGAGACTTGAAGGTATACGCACTGTTGGGGTTCATGAGAGATGCTCACAGAGACTGGAAGGTAGACGCACTGTTGGGGTTCACAATAGCTGGTCACAGAGACTGGAAGGTAGACGCACCGTTGGGGTTCACAAAAGCTGATCACGGAGACTGGAAGGTATACGCACTGTTGGGGTTCATGATAGATGGTCACAGAGACTGGAAGGTATACGCACTGTTGGGGTTCATGAGAGATGCTCACAGAGACTGGAAGCTCTACCCCCTGTTGGGGTTCATGAGAGATGATCACAGAGACTGGAAGGTAAAGGCACTGTTGGGGTTCACAATAGCTGATCACAGAGACTGGAAGGTATACGCACTGTTGGGGTTCATGAGAGATGGTCACAGAGACTGGAAGCTCTACCCACTGTTGGGGTTCATGAGAGATGATCACAGAGACTGGAAGCTCTACCCACTGTTGGGGTTCATGAGAGATGATCACGGAGACTGGAAGGTATACGCACTGTTGGGGTTCATGAGAGATGCTCACAGAGACTGGAAGGTAAAGGAACTGTTGGGGTTCACAATAGCTGATCACAGAGACTGGAAGCTATACGCACTGTTGGGGTTCATGAGAGATGCTCACAGAGACTGGAAGGTATACGCACTGTTGGGGTTCATGAGAGATGCTCACAGAGACTGGAAGGTATACGCACTGTTGGGGTTCATGAGAGATGCTCACAGAGACTGGAAGGTAAAGGAACTGTTGGGGTTCACAATAGCTGATCACAGAGACTGGAAGGTATACGCACTGTTGGGGTTCATGATAGATGGTCACAGACACTGGAAGGTATACGCACTGTTGGGGTTCATGAGAGATGGTCACAGAGACTGGAAGGTACACGCACTGTTGGGGTTCATGAGAGATGGTCACAGAGACTTGAAGGTACACGCACTGTTGGGGTTCATGATAGATGCTCACAGACACTGGAAGGTATACGCACTGTTGGGGTTCATGAGAGATGCTCACAGAGACTGGGAGGTAAAGGAACTGTTGGGGTTCACAATAGCTGATCACAGAGACTGGAAGCTCTACCTACTGTTGGGGTTCATGAGAGATGCTCACAGAGACTGGAAGGTACAACTGTTGGGGTTCATGAGAGATGGTCACAGAGACTGGAAGGTACACGCACTGTTGGGGTTCATGAGAGATGCTCACAGAGACTGGAAGATATACGCACTGTTGGGGTTCACAATAGCTGATCACAGACACTGGAAGATATACGCACTGTTGGGGTTCACAATAGCTGGTCACAGAGACTGGAAGGTATACGCACTGTTGGGGTTCATGAGAGATGCTCACAGAGACTGGAAGGTACACGCACTGTTGGGGTTCATGAGAGATGGTCACAGAGACTGGAAGGTACACGCACTGTTGGGGTTCATGAGAGATGCTCACAGAGACTGGAAGGTAAAGGAACTGTTGGGGTTCACAATAGCTGGTCACAGAGACTGGAAGGTATAGGGGAGTGTTGGGGAGATGCTCAGACTTCCGGAAACAAACTGAGGGCAGTATTGCGTGTGATGACAGAGCTTCATATGGTCTGCGAACTACGGGAGATTTGAGGCAGGAGGCGGGTCATGACATCAGCTGCATGGGATGCATGATAGTCAACATGGCTTCAGGGGCCAACATGACATTAAACACTTTACAGAATGTCTTCAACGCATCCAAATACAATTCATAACTTAACACCTTGTTGCTGTTCTAAAATACTCACAAATGCGAACGAAATGGGCCAAAAAGATATTTTCAATATGGCTACCACGGATGTCATTGTGAATGCGTTGGGATCAGGTCTATACACCATCCAGTTGAAATTCATGCATGGGAACACGGGTGGCCCAGTGATAGAAAACGCTGGATTCGCTGGGCAGACAGGTGTCACAATCCTCGTCTTGTGGGTTCGAATCCCAGATTCGCACCGGCGGTGAATCTCAGCACCAGTGCCTGTGGGTTTCAGTCATCTGGTACACGCCCACGACAAGTGTCCCCTTGGGCTTTTCTTACACATTGAACTGGCACGCCGTCGTATAACTGAAATAACGCTGAAAGCGACGTTTAACTCACTCACTCACAAACAAACAAACAAACAAGCATTCATATATGTATTTTTAGCGCTGATGTATGAAAGGTCTCACGAGAGTAGGGCACAGAATTATATTTTATTGATTCTATGCCCAAGGTGGGGGACGGTATGATAGCCCCAAGGTGAACGTGTTCGCTCGTCACGCCGGAGGCCTGGGTTCTATTCTCCTCATGGGTAGTATGTGTGAAGCCCCAAATTTGGTCAAGCCAGAATGTGGCTAAAGGTATCGTTAAACCAAACTCACCCACCCAAACCCCACCCGCTGACCCTTATCAACGAAAGAACCCAAATATACTTGATAACTTTAATGAATAAAGTGCCCTTTACCATGTGTGAACAACTAGTTTACTCCAATCTCGCAGGATATCAACCTCGAGGCGCGCTTTGATCACAACATCGCTGTTTGATGTGAGATTAGAAATATGAAGATCAATTAGAGGCGTGTAATGGATTGTGTAATTGGCTCTTCGTTATAGATGGCTGATTGATGTCGCGTTGACGCTGCTGCTACTGTTGCCGTTCCCACACAAATCACACATTTAAAGGGGCGATCTGGGAGCCTAGTGGTTAAAGCGTTCGCTCGTCACGCCGAAGACCCGGGTTCGATTCCCGACATGGGTACAATGTGTGAAGCCTATTTCTGGTGTCCCCCGCCGTGATATTGCTGGAATATTGCTAAAAGCGGCGTAAAACCATACTCACTCACTCACTCACACATTTAAAACTAATATCCAAGGATTAGAATTGGTCTCCAGCAACGCTTGCTTATAGTTCGAGGCGACTCAACGGATCGGGTCGTCAACCTCGACGACTTGGTTGATTTTGCGTCATCGTATTCCGACGTTGTTCATAATATCAATCACTGGGTTGTCTGGCCCACACTCGATTGTTTACAGGCCGCTGTCAGCTCGTAAAGCTTGAGTTTTGCTGTTAAACAACAAACAAGCACATTATAAAGCTAATAAACTAAAACATTTCAACAGTTTCCCCATATATACGCATGTATTTTCAGAAGTTCAAGCGATGTTAGGAAGTTCAAGTCTCCAAAAACTTTCATTACCTGGTTGCTGAAGCTGGCGATTGTGACAGCCGTGGAGGGAAAAGGCTCCCAGTGATACCTGCCCCTCATCAACCTTGGAAGTCCACACCCCAAAGCTTTGAATGAATGCTTTAAATGCTGCTTTAAAATCTTTCAGTAAAACTAAACACAACACAGTTGCCTATGTACCTCTGAAACAAAACAACAACAGTTGTTCAATTATCTTAATAAAAATATGATAAAAATCATAAGAATCTCTTCATTTTCCTGATACTGCAGTAATCTAGACTTTCCAAACATTATAGACTTGCATGGGATGTGTCTGATATATTTGTATCAGCGTCGACGCATGTACCTTCAGGCATGAGCTGGAGTTTCTTGGTACATTTCATCAGAAAATTCTTACTTGCTTTGAATGTGTCATTACGCGGTGATTGCTTGACAGAGAGATGAAGTAATTTATTTACTAAGACATTATCATAAGACATTACACCCGAGTCCCTGTAAGAACCACACGACTGTGGATCGGAAGGCCACGCCCCGTCACATTGCTGATTGCGTGTCATCGTACCGCCTTTTGTGGTTTCCATGTTCCAGACCGCTGTGTTACAGCAGAATGCGGCGTTAAACAACATTCACACACTCCCTCTGATCCTGATGTGGACGGGGCGACCAGCGATTTAACAATGCTGAGTGAAGCAGGGAAATGGGCATTATGTAAAATTAACAACAGTAGTAATTATCACGGCAGGGGATACCAAAATTATGCTTCACTGTACTTGTATGTACTAAATCATTATCACAAAACGATTTCAACAAAAAGGCCGGTAAACTGTCTCAATCTCAAGTAGTTCCGCGAAGAAACAACTGGCTTCTCTCCCGTATAATGGTCGAAGTAGTTCCAAGTAAATTAAAATTCGATGTGGAGAAAAATGAATATTGTATTTTCTTGTGGTTTAATTGAAAATTGATTCATTAACAACAATATACCGTACCTCATGACGGCAATCTAGAAACAGGCCATTATCAATCTGCATCTGATTCTATGGCGGGGGCTGAAGTGAATTAAGCTTGGGTATTCTACGTTAAACAAACATGTCAATGAGACGCATGCCACCTCAAAAAGACGAACATCTTCTAATAATTCATCATGTTTGCAACGAGCTACTTATGACAACTATCCCCAAGCCCTGTGGCAGTTACGGGATCACTATATCACATTAGAGCGTTGTGATGTATTAGGCTCTTATGGTACAATAGGAGCCCTCGGAACGCTCAACACAGGTGAAACCAGTCTGGCCGGCTCACACCCAGTCAACATACACACAGATTCACTATCACGCCTTCAACGAAAATACTCACCAAAGTTTAGCTAAAAGGACTTTAATGGCATTTATGGATTGGTAGAGTGTTGTGGATGATGCGAGAGGACTCACAGTAATTAACATTGATTACGACAATGGTTAACAAAGTTATAGCAGTGGGAATCTGCTCGTATGGTACCTTTCATCAGCCTACTTGTGCTTGTTAGAGGGCCAATTATTGCACGCGCAATCTGTAACAATAGAGATCGATGGCGGTATATTAATTGATAATGTCTACTTGTAGGAAATACTCATATAAAAATCTCAGCAATGTCATAAATCTCAGATAGAGTTTCAGATTGGCGAGTTTGAAACATTTAAAGTCATAGGGGCATTTGTAATATATTTTGATGATGCCGAAAAAAGAAGAGGTGAGCTCCCGTACTTCCGGCCCCGAAGGCCGCAACTCTGTGGACGAGAGAGGAGATAGTGTAGAAGGAGATGAAACCACAAAATCTCATTTTTTATCCATAGATGACATCCTGAAAGATAAAAATACGGACACCGCTAGTAGTGACCGGAATGACGCCATTAATAATGACGTCGCAGAGTCATCACTGCGAATCCCGAAATCGAGCGATTCATGCGCGGACAGTTCCAGGCCGGACTTGTTTGGTTCTAGTATTCCCTCGCTGGACTACATGACATACGCCCGGCCCCCGCATTTCCTGCACTACCCCTGCACGTTAGCCCGATCCCTGGGGGTCTTCCAGTCTACATCCTGGCTGTGCCAGTCCATGTATCAGAGGCAAGCATACATAGAAGGTAACCATGTTTTTAATGTTCTTTTTTAAACGCATCCTTATTACATCATAGTCCCGGGTTTTTACAACCCCGTACAGTACCACGTGGACAGGCGTATCAGAGGATATTGTTTCCATGTTAAAAGTAAATAAAATGATAATGTTTATTTATTGACAAGAAAAGTTTTAAGTTTGGATGCAATGGGGGACTTGATATACTTGTAACTTGTAGCCTTACATCTGTATATAATATATTTTGCTAACAGCAAGAAATAGTTCATAACTTCAGAATCATCGTGTTTTTCACTGACACCATACAACATAATATTCCCATAATTATCGTATTTTTGTTATGGTTATTAACTCAACAACACAACGATATCCAAAAGGGGCAAATCATTTTGGCAATAAAATAGATGATGTCTTATGGTATTTTCACGTCACAAAATTCACACTAATTACTATCCTATACATGTATCTGATTGAGGTATTCATTACACGGAATAATTAAATGTTTATTGGAATTCTTGTATTTATTTTCCTGTTGAATTCCCCCGAGTAGTTTCCATTTATCCCGATCTTCATTATGTAATGGATGTACAACATGTATGAGACAATATTTCGACGTGGCCGCAGTTGTATTATTTTTATTCCTTCAAATTAAGGAGGTAAATTAACATTTTTAGGAGGAACCATGTCCTTAAAATAAACATTTTACCCAGCAGCTTTTCTCCATGCATTAACATTCAAATGTTAATCATTTTGTAATATTTATGCCATGCCATCTAGTTTTACGTTGGTAAAACTGTCCCTTCTAATTCTGGTATGGACAACACCTGCATGTTTCCATTCTTCATCATACTTAATACTGAAATTTAATGTGGAAAAATCTGTTTGAATGTCTCTTAGAAATGACAAGTGTAGGGCACCATTTGGCATCAAGAAAATGTCAAAATATAGATATTTTGGAATTCTGTAAACGATAATACATACCTGAAAGAGGATATTAAAGAGTGCTGAAAGAGCTAAAAATCCGTTCCGATATTTGGAGAACAAGGAATTGAACTATTTATGGGCATTGCTTGTTACGTAAATCAGAGGGTATTTCCAGAGCTGTCCATCAAACAGTATCAGTAATCCAGGGAGAATTGTTAAAGTAGTTAATATGATTGTTTACCTTCATTTAGAATAGCAAATCAGAATAAAAGTTGCTCGTGTCAGACTATCAAGAAATGTTGAGAATGATGGGATTAAAGCCTTAAATTGTGAAGAATCAAACAAGGCAGTTAAAATACATAATTTACTTTCTATAATTTTCGTATAAATGAAGCATTTTAATAATTTATGTAGTATCTATTTCGTTTCACGTGAATATCGTCCGGAAGGCGAGGTTTCCGGATAACCCAGGGTTCCACTATAGTTTGGCTTTTAAAATATTTCAAGAAAGAAAATTCTAGACTTACCCATTAGGACATGTATTTAAGCATGCTAAACTTGCTAAAGTTCTTGTTGAAATGTAATTATGATGCATCCACATTGAAAATATAAAATACACTTTATTACAAATATATTTTAAATGTATGGAAGTCTTCTATCTTGGAAGATCATGTGGATGTACACAATGATAGTTTTGGGAATAACAAGATAGAATTAGTAAAGAGTAGAAGTTAGCGATAAATTGACATGTAAATATGAAGAATATTTCTATATTTGCATTTTTCTCTAATTCTCACAGTACTGTACCGGATCCCCGATACTGACTGCAGCCTCGATTATCCAGTATAATATGATATATGTATCTAATCATACGGAGATATATGTAACTGGTTAATCGAGGAGGGATGTCTGTAGGGTCTACTGCAGCTCAATCTATTCCAACTATTTTTGTAGACTTTCAAAACGCGTGCCTACCCATGACCGTCACAGGCCGGACGTACGTTTTGAGGTGAGGTGGGATGAAATGGGGTATAGCGTCGCGTCCAGGTGTGGCTGCTTGTACTAGTCCGGACTATTACCGATTTTACAATGCTAGCGCACTGAGATACCATGCCGCAGTTGCACATGAATACCCAATTCAGACACAATATACTGATTTCAAGCCGACCAATCCTTGTTTTAGCCCCTTAATGCTGAATGCTCCCCGAGCGGTGGCTTTGCCACTAGGCCACGGATGACAAGTACCGTATTAGTTTGACAATGTTGGATTTCTAAACATCAAAGTGCCTATGGTACAACGTGCTGTTTTGGGGTTAAACAATTAATTTCCGAAACGGAAAGTCCTCCAGATCAGGCAGGCTAAAGCCCCGAAAACCTGTAAACAAAAACTTGACCCATGAATGCATCACATGCCCTTCTTTCCTCAGCTCAGAGAAGCTCCCGTCGTCAGCGCAGGGTTAACATCGACCGGAAACCCCGACAGGCGTATTCAACAAAACAACTGGAGAGGCTAGAGGAAGAGTTTAAGGTAATCTCAATCTTATTAAAATCTACTGCTGCCGCTAAACAAAGATCTGAGGACATCCCATTATGGGTCACGTCACAACGACCTTTCAACCGGCCGTTCAAAGCGTCGTTTACAAGATCAGTAAGAACGTGTATTTTGTGTGCGTGCGTGCGTGCGTGCGTGCGTGGGTGCGTGTGTCAAAATCATCGTCTGTCTCTTGCTTCAGTGGGGTAAACATTTTAACGGAAGAGACTTTGCATTGCCCATGGGAAGTACTGCCATACAATCTAGGCCTTGTATTAGACATTTCAGAATGTTATTTTACTTAGTTTTCAAATTTTGAATCGAGACTTTTTCAAAAATATTTTTCAAAGCGAAGTAGCCAAATTGAAACTAGTACCGTAAAGCTCGAGAAAGCTGCTTTCTGATAGGCTAATGTCGACTTCGTGTTAGTCATTTCATTGGTCGGTCAAAGTTCGCGAAAGGTCGTTCAAACGTGACCTGTAATGGGAGGTCCTCAGATCGTTGTTTAGCGGTAGCGAGAATTAAATTCTGATTTTAATGAGTTTAAGGTAATCTCGGTGTGAGGTCTCTACAATTGCTGCTTACGCTCCAGTGCTGAAAAACAGTTTCAATAATGGAGAAGGGATACAAAGAAACAACATGCTATAACATCGACACGCTCCGTCAGTTGACGTCATGAACTAATAGCCTTTATTGCAATGCCCGGGGACCTTAATGGAGCAGGACACACATTTGAAGTGGTATTTTCGTTCGAGACAGATTAATTTCTTCTTCTTTTATTTTACTTTATGCTTGTATTTTAAGCTCAAGTTGTAACTGCACTCCAGATGTGCTCTAACTGAACACAGACACCACGTCTTTGTATATTGAATGTGGAATCAATAAGGATGTTAATAGGTGGAAGGTAATATTCAAAGATTTATTGGGTAACTGAACGTCCAGTATCCATATATCAAGTCGGGGGTGGCCCAGTCGTCTAAGGCGCCTTTGGCTGGCCAGAAGCCTATGTTCGCGGGTTCGAATCTCGGTTTGCTCTGATTCTGTTTCTAGGTTTGTCAGCACCATACTTTTGCTCGTGGGTTTCACCACAGTGGTAAACGACTGAGACCTGCATGAATTTAGGCTTTCCTCCCACATTAAGCTGACACGCCTTGATATAACAGGAATACTGTCAAAAGCGGTGTTAAACCCAACTCACTCACTCCCCATTGCAACATATGAATCCGTATGAATACTCCAGCTAAGAAAACAACCTTCTATTCGAGTCAGTTCGCGCTATATTTTTGTTTATTATTAATGCCAAAAGTGTCTTTGTAACTATTTAATTGTGTCGTGTAAGAAAGGTGTCAGAAACCTTCAATTGTATTTCCCTCAGTGGTACTGATTGTCCGTTACAGACCGACCGCTACCTGAGCGTCAGCAAGAGAATCGAGCTGTCCAAACACCTGGAACTCACGGAGACCCAGATCAAAACCTGGTTCCAGAATAGGCGGTGAGTCACAGACCAATATCATGCATACATTCTAGTATCCTCTCCCTCTGTGGCTGGAGTCACGGTTGTATATCATGCATATATACTAGTATCCTTCCTTTGTGGCTACACGTACGGTTAGTCACGGTTGTATATCATGCATACATTCTAGTATCCTCTCCCTCTGTGGCTGGAGTCACGGTTGTATATCATGTATATATACTAGTATCCTTCCTTTGTGGCTACACGTACGGTTAGTCACTGTTGTATATCATGCATACATTCTAGTATCCTCTCCCTCTGTGGCTGGAGTCAAGGTTGTATATCATGCATATATACTAGTATCCTTCCTTTGTGGCTACACGTACGGTTAGTCACGGTTGTATATCATGCATACATTCTAGTATCCTCTCCCTCTGTGGCTGGAGTCACGGTTGTATATCATGCATATATACTAGTATCTTTCCTTTGTGGCTACACGTACGGTAAGTCACGGTTGTATATCATGCATACATTCTTGTATCCTCTCCCTCTGTGGCTGCATGTACGGTTAGTCACGGTTTATATCATGCATATATACTCGTATCCTCCCTATGTGGCTGCACGTACGGTTAGTCACGGTTGTATATCATGCGTATATACTCGTATCCTCCATATGTTGCTCCACGTACGGTTAGACACGGATGTATATCATGCATATATACTATTATCCTCTCCCTCTGTGGCTGCACGTACGGTTAGTCACGATTGTATATCATGCATACATTCTAGTATCCTCTCCCTCTATGGCTGCACTTTCGGTTAGTCACGATTGTATATCATGCATACATTCTAGTATCCTCTCCCTCTGTGGCTGCAAGTACGGTTAGTCACGGTTTATATCATGCACATATACTCGTGTCCTCCCTATGTGGCTGCGCGTACGGTTAGTCACGGTTCTATATCATGTGTATATATTCGTATCCTCCATACGATGCTGCACGTACGGTTAGTCACGGTTGTATATCATGCATATATACTAGTATCTTCTCCCTCTGTGGCTGCACGTACGGTTAGTCACGGTTCTATATCATGCATACATTCTAGTATCCTCTCCCTATGTGGCTGCACGTACGGTTAGTCACGATTGTATATCATGCATATATACGGGTATCCTCCCTATGTAGCTGCACTTACGGTAAGTCACGGTTGTATATCATGCGTATATACTCGTATCCTCCCTACGTGGCTGCACTTTCGGTTAGTCACGGTTGTATATCATGCATATATACTAGTATCCTCTCCCTTTGTGGCTGCACTTACGGTTAGTCACGGTTGTATATCATTCATATATATATACTCGTATCCTCCATATGTTGCTGCACTTACGGTTAGTCACGGTTGTTTATCATGCATATATACTAGTATCTTCTCCCTATGTGGCTGCACGTACGGTTAGTCACGGTTGTATATCATGCATGTATACTAGTGTCCTCTCTATGTGGCTGCACGTACGGTTAGTCACGGTTGTATATCATGCGTATATACTCGTATCCTCCGTATGTTGCTGCACGTACGGTTAGTCACGGTTGTATATCATGCATATATACTAGTATCCTCTCCCTACTATGTTGCTGCACTTACGGTTAGTCACGGTTGTATATCATGCGTATATACTCGTACCCTCCCTATGTGGCTGCACGTACGGTTAGTCACGGTTCTATATCATGCATATATACTAGTATCCTCTCCCTACTATGTTGCTGCCCTTACGGTTAGTCACGGTTGTATATCATGCGTATATACTCGTATCCTCCCTATGTAGCTTCACGTACGGATAGTCACGCTTGTTTATCATGCATATATACTAGTATCCTTTCCCTCTGTGGCTGCACGTACGGTTAGTCACGGTTGTATATCATGCATATACACTAGTATCCTCTCACTCTCTGGCTGCACGTACGGTTAGTCACGGTTGAATATCATGCATACATTCTAGTATCCTCCCTATGTGGCTGCACGTACGGTTAGTCACGGTTGTATATCATGCGTATATACTCGTATCCTCCCTATGTAGCTTCACGTACGGATAGTCACGCTTGTTTATCATGCATATATACTAGTATCCTTTCCCTCTGTGGCTGCACGTACGGTTAGTCACGGTTGTATATCATGCATATACACTAGTATCCCTCACTCTCTGGCAGCACGTACGGTTAGTCACGGTTGTATATAATGCATATATTCTAGTACCCTCTCCCTCTGTGGCTGCACATACGGTTAGTCACGGTTGTATATCATACATATATTCTAGTATCCTCTCCCTCTGTGGCTGCATGCACGTACGGTTAGTCAATGTTGTTTATCATGCATATATTCTAGTATCCTCTCCCTCTGTGGCTACACTTGCGGTTAGTCACGGTTGTATATCATGCATATATGTTATTACCAAATAATGGGTAGGTTTCTCGGCAGGATAAAGCCAACGGATAAAAACGATACAAATAAACATGGCATCGCCCTTTCTAATTAGGCGAATTGGTCAGAACTCACCATCGGGGATCTGGAGAACTACTGGGAATGTCTGGGATAATTGCTATCATTATCAAAGCATAGTCTAATATACTGAAAAGCAGTGTCTAACTGTGACGTAGCAAAGGCATTTTACAAGTTTTGGCTACTTTGGAGATAACAATTGCGAAACAATTGAGCGAGAACACTATATAGCCAAGCGGGATCGGTTTCCAACTTTCCATAGTTGTGCTTGTATACCTCTGCGGCTTGGAACCTTTCCCCCAAATTAAAACAGTTGGATTTGGCCAAAATATGTCCGAATTGTTACCTGGTTTCGTTTTGTCGCTGTGTGAACATCTGGCCGCACTTTGTAACGTTATGACAGGACAGGCAGACTATAAACAAACGTGACGTCTCATAGACTAAGGTTAGAGTAGCTTCCCTTTCATAAAGGGGAGTTACTCCGGCGGACAGACCGATGGATTGCCGCGAAAGGCAAGAAGGAACATTTTTTGAGGCAGTTGTCGTTTTGCTTATATTTACTTACTTCAATGTACAAGAGTGAATGAGTGAGTGAGTTGGGTTTGACGCAGCTTTTAACATTATTCCAGTTATATCGCGGCGTGCCTGCTTAATGTGGGAGGAAAGCCCGAAGCGATGCAGGTCTCTGACGTTACCACTTCGGTGAAACCAACGTGCACGGGAATGGTGGTGACAAACCTAGAAACATAATCGGGGCGTACCGGGATTTGAACCCACAATAATAGGTTTCTGGCGTGCCCAAGGGACGCAACTGCACAGCAAATGGCGGCGCCTTAGACGACTGCCCCCACCCACCCACTGTATAAGAAACAGGTTTCAGTTTGAACTATATTGACTGTTGTCACTGTCTGACTAACACATCACTTACCTTCTGACGTAAATATATTAATGCGCACATTCCAGGAAACTTGCAATGTTAAGGTAATGATATGGGAAAAGAGTTTTCGAGGACAGAATTGAAGAATGACATTATGTGATAAAGAGGTTATCACACTTGTGTGTTTGGGGGATCTCCACATTCTCTATCTTTGCACAAAATTTCGCTTGCTCATGAGAATAATTTGATTGGACGTCATTCCATTCCATCCGGGCTCAACATATAGCTATGCTTGTGAATGGCTCCAGGGCATTGATCATCACAGAATGAATAAATAAATACTCGACATTTCAGTTCCTACAATAAGGGATCGTATCTACCACTGGTGAAAAAAACGAAATCTCACGCGTTCATCGGATGTAATCGTCATTCCATCTGATTTCAAATTGGCAAACCGGTGCATGAGAGCCTTTACTGTGCTAAAGCTATAAAGATATAACGGTACTTTCCATGCACTGTCCATAATACAGGCTGAGTAACTAGAGGACACTAACGATCATTTTCATATATCGAACGCCAACGACTCGGTATATCGTCAATGCGGTTATTGTGCCGGAAGCATCCATAGCAACACTATTGTATAATGAAACAATTGCAAGCGATTCCATGGCATTTGATTGGCTAGCCAAACATTTCTTTTCGCGTTTCTGTTTCCGCCCACTCGCGGTGTACTCTTTCCTGATTGGTTGATAATAGGGTGGGTGTGACTTGGGTTGCATTATTGCCCTGAACTATGTCACTGATTACGTATTGTTTAAATAAATTGACTTAAATATTTTAAAATATTTATAAACGTTAAAACCGGTATGCACACTCTACATGAATCCGCTACCTCAATACCTGTGTAACCACTTTGTACCCCGTTTTTTTGTTAACGTTTTTACCTGAATGAATGGAAACATATTATATAGACCCGTGAAGATTCAGGTTAGAATAGGTCTTCAGAAAGCCATACTTGCCGTAAAAGGCGACTATGCTTTTCGCAAGAGGCGACTAACGGGATCAGGTAGTCAGGCCCGCTGACTTGCTTGGTGCATGTCATCGTATCCAAATTGCGTGGATCGATGCTCGTGATGTCAATCACTGGATTGTCTGGTCCAGACTCGATTATTTACAGACCGCCGTCATATAGCTGTAATATTGCTGAGGGCGGCGTTAAACAACAATCAAACATACAAAGCAAACAATATTGAAGTAGAGATACGCTGTATGTCTACGGATTACATAACATATCTTCGTTGCGCCCTGGAATTTAATTCAACTAGCTTTTGCTGTATATGAATTCATATACAAATTATTTCGGCCAAATTACAGCTCTGGTATTTGTTAACAATGGTTCTTTAGTAAGTTTTTCAATTATTTACTGAAAAGAATGTTACTCTTTCCATCTTTTCAGGACCAAATGGAAAAAGCAGATGGCCGCCAAACTGAAACGTGATGGCCTTCTCAGTGCGCACATGTGGCCTCCTCTGACGTCATATCCGCTACACCTTCCCCAACCAATTCACCAGCCACTACACCCGAACTCACTGTTTCACCTTTAGCGCCAAGCTAATCGGGCTGTTTGACAAGAACTCGGTGCAACATGGCTGTGTGTGTTTAGACTCATGTATTCTAAATGTAAACCTTGGGTTCTGTGTATATTGCTTGCCCGCGGTAGCTTCGTGTCTCACTAATTGTGTAGGGCATTGCTTTAAGCGCGGTAGAGCAGGCCCGTAGGAGCTCCTCCTCCTCCCCCCTCCCCTCTCCCCCCTTTACTGCTGAGTTTCTGCCGTGAAACCGAATTTAGAACCATTATTATTTTATGCATGGTCAATTTGTTTAGATTAAATAATGTGCTTCATAGATTTGGTTTTTGACTTGGCTCTCGTGACGATTCTGAACCAGTGCCTTTGGTGACATGGGACAATGAGCCCCACTGAGCTACAAAATTGTATTTCCCAAACCACCACTCCCACCCCACCTCCTCTCCACCCCCCACTCTGAGAAACGCTCCTACGGACCCTAGCGGGAATATGCGCCAAGCTAGGACCCCTGCCAACGAACTACAGAATCAGCTGTACTAGAACATGCCCTTTGTGTGAGACAGTCGTCGTAAGCTTATGATAATCCGAATTTTTTTCAGTTTTGAAAATGAACACTTGAATAAAACACCATACATTGAAGCATAGTCTCACACAAGAGTCCGTAGATTCTTAAGAACACAATTCATTATGCATGGTAAACTCCTCCCCAGACGCTTTCAGCCTCACGTGCTGGAACAAGTTACGGACTTGCGTTGATAATAGTGTTATTGCTGATAACGTTATTCACGTCGGATGTGTACCTCCCAGTGGACCTCCAAACGCTTCATAATGTATTTCCGGTGGCACAATTGCAATGGAACTGATGTCGGTAAAAGCGCCATTCTTCATAATCCAGTGTTGATATAATGGCAGCATACAATTTCCAGCCTGATACAATGACAAGTCGTCATAAAGCCTTGAACATGACGAGGCATATTTTGATTGCTCGTTTATAAAGCTTTCATTGCTCTGACATTTCTTGCTTTTTTAACTGGGTCTGGTCTAGAGTTTAATGTCAACAGGTATTGCGCAAACGGCATCCCGTCCCGCACTATAAGGAAACAAGCTTCCCTGCCCGTCCCCCGGGGACTGGACGGATGCAGGGAGGCGAACCTGACTGTACATACTCCCTCATCAAGGATTCTGTATGCAGAAACACTACCACAGCCTCAGTATATACACGGACTGTGGTTGTTATAACGGGGTAATGTACGGGCAGTATATTGAGTCACAGCTCGCTTTAGGTCGTCTCATTTACCTGGCTCCTCTCAATCGATAGTTTTTTCGCGTTTTAGCGAATTCTCCAGTTGGCGTACAGACGAAGGAGCAGGGCCTGTGTATTGAGGTTTTGATCCTGCAGTCAACTGAGGTCAAAGTTAACCAGACTAGATGAACTCACTAGTGGCGCGAATTGTTGTTTGGAGCGTTGGCTTGTCATACCGTTAACCTGAGTTCTATTCCCGCATGCAAACATTGCAGGAACACCGGTGAGGTGTCGTTGGAGCAGCTGTAAAAACGTAAAGCCGGACACTCACTCACTCACTCGACCACCCGCTCACTCAACCTACTCACTCACTCAATCGACCCACTCACTCACTCACTCTAAGGCAACAGGACGTTTACTTCCACTACACTACCGGGCAAACTTAAGTATACCTGAGTTTGGATCTAACGGTCGGGATTCGATAGTACAACGGGTGATACGTTCTTTCCACTAGTTCTCAGTATGTTGTAACGACAACCATCGGGAGAGTAGATTCTAAGCCTATGTCCTACAGGGTCTTTTACTTACAAAGACTACACATGACGGCTTACAGTCCGTAGTTCATATGCATGCGCTGAGGTAGTGAGTTATCTGGGTTTAACTCCGCTTTGAACAGTGTTTCAGTTACATTACGGTATGTCAACGTAATGTGAGACGAAAGCCCATAGCGATCCACATCGGAAATGTTTACTTATTTCTGACACATACGGATGGAGCGAGTGAGTGGGTATTGTCTCACGCCGCTTTTAGCACTATTTCAGCAATATCACGGCGGGGGACACCAGAAATGGGCTTCACACATTGTACCCATGTGGGGAATCGAACCCGGGTCTTCGGCGTGACTTGCGAACTTTTCAATCACTAGGCTACCGCAAAGCCCCCATACGGATTGAGAAATACCACGGATCATAATCGACCCGTGAAGATCCGTGTTAGATAGGTCTTCAGCAACCCATACTTGCCGTAAAAGGCGACATTGATTTTCGTAAGAGGCGACTAACAGGATCGGGTGGTCAGGCTCGCTGACTTGCTTGGTGCAACGCAGCATGTCATCGTATCCAAATTGCGTGGATCGAAGCTCATGATGTGAATCACTGGATTGTCTGGTCCAGACTCGTTTATTTACAGACCGCCGTCATATAGCTGGAATACTGCTGAGGGCGGCGTTATACAACAAACAAACAAAAACGAATCATAATCAGGCGACAGGTACCCAGCGGATATTTTACTATAATTCCGATAGTATTACTTGTTAATCATCGCAGAAGCATTACAACGGACTCTCTCTATACCGGAGTACATGACGGGACATATTAACGTATATTTATCATTTCAGGGCTGTTGGTATATATGGGCCCACTTTCACATTCAATGATCTTGTGTCGAAAAAAGCCGATCTGATTTACACTCGGTGGTGAAACGTATACTGAAAATAGATATTTAGTATAGTGACCTGTTATAATAAATCTGCCCGTAGTTAGTACTTTGTATACAGTTTGCGTTGGTCGCATGGAGTATCATGGCATTGACAAAGCTATACTTGGCGACCAAGAGCGCCTTCATTCAACTATTAGGTACATGTTGACATCAAAAGGGACAAATAATAATCGTCGAACAGGACTTTCAGGCTAGTTCGCCCAAACTCATTCTGTCCAGCGATGCAGTGAGTGATAATTGATTCACGGAACGAAGCACAAACATTGCCAGGTGATCTACAGTGCGGGTACCTGTGACGGCCGACTAGCTATTGCACCACATCAAAAAATCAACTTGCCATCAAGAGACGGTCGAGGACTACACTAATCTGCTGTTTGAACAAGGTCACACTGGGGGGAACCACTATTGTGCGGTAGGGGTGGCAAACTGAGTAATTGTATAGTATTTATTGATTAATTTGACTGTAACATACACATATCAATTCATGTTAAGTCGACACTAAATATAACGTATTCATAAACACATTTCCAAAAGTCATATATGGCCATTTTGTTGCTCCACCCTTGTTGAATTGCACTTGAAATCCTGATATGTAAATAGCATCGTCCATGTATATCCCCGATACATCGTATTCCAAAAGGGGTAGGTGCTCCTCCTGCATGTTGCCCGACCCCCATCATGTGCAAGAAGTATGGGGACAGGATCTGGGCCCTGGGCTACGGCCGATGCAGCCCGGATGAGACCGGCAAGGTTGGTTGTCATCCTTCTTCTCGGTGTTGATGTTTCGAGTAAGACAAATTTTCTTAACGGGTAGATCTTACGGAACATGCACCCCTCGCTATAACGCGGCGATAGTGGCGTTGGCAAGTGTGCACAGGGTTAAAGGTAAAATATATCTGACTAAAACTAGTACGATATTGACAATAATGTAAATATAGTATATATAACAGAAAATAGAATTGCACTTCACTTGAAGTCCGTTTATATTTTGCTGTCGCGTTCTGGATGAGAGAAACGCAGCATGGACCAAAAGATTATATTTTATACTTTATATTTTTTATTTATTTTATATTTAACAGTTTATATTTTATTTTATTTTCACTCTAAAATTGAGATTCGTTATCAAGCTGATGTCGACTTTTGGAATGTAAATGTACGTCCGTAGTTGAACTATATTATACGTCGTCCTTGAGAAAAGTAAATACGATGAGACTGTTTTTCGTTTGGGATGGGATATAGTCGTGCGTGTATGAGCACAGCTAAAGATGTTACCCTCATGTGCGTGTGTCTCTATTTTTCAAACATACACAACGCGGCTTCTTTTAAGCTAGTCGATACGTCTCTCTGACATGATGCTGCGTTACTCTGTAAAACTGTCCATTTTGTCGATCAATAAATGTTTCTGTCGCAAATGTGCGCTGTATACATACAAGGATAGACTAGCAGATAGATGGCGTTTGCAGATTTATCTTAAGATACTTTGTTTCAAAACCATTGCTGATGTGTTCATAGATTCTTTGCAATAAGAACATGAATGAATCATATATACATGAATATAATTATGATCAGGCAAAACTTCCAGAACTATTCTTCTTGGTATGTGGCGGTGGGGTAGCCTAGTGGTTAAAGCGTCATGCCGAAAACCGGGTTCGAATCCCTACATGGGTAAACTGTGTGTAGCCAATTTCTTGTGTCCCCCGCCGTGATGTTGCTGGAATGTGGCTAAAAGCGACGTAAAATAATACTCACTCACTTACTTTGAATGTATACCCGAAAATCCAAGATGGCTGCCTAGTTTCAAAATGTCAATCATGATCTATTTATGACATAGGAATTAATAGAATTATCCGATTTGGGCGATTTGTAAGTTGTTTTCACTGTTCATTAGCATACGCATACTGATTTGACTACATTGAAACCTCTCAAATTAGTAGTTTCATCATTTCTGAAGTCTGCCATTACTCAGAAAGACCACATGACTTGTATGGACATGGCTCGCAGTTATGCCTAATTGTCTTTATTGGAACGAACTTTTTTTAATTTCCAATTGACTTGATGCTATGTGTGTATAACTATCTGTATAAAAGAACGTTTTGAGGAATTATAAATTCGCTCAATGAAATGTGCATTGATTACATATTCTGTTGATGCAGCGTATGTCAAACTCTAATAATGTCACTTTTATTTACACTCTTGTGAGTTTGCTACATGACCAAAAGCACAACGTTCAGAAGTCATAAAATATGGTGTTAACATAATACTGTCATTAAGGGCGTTTTCCAAGTTTACAAATGCTGTCCTACCATGAAAATAAAACGTAAAAGACATACCTATTTAGAGTTCACAGAACCTCGCTCAAATAGAGCTCGTATATAGTGAGTGAGTATGGTTTTACGCCGCTTTTAGCGATATTCCAGCAATATCTCGGCGGGGGACACCAGAAATGGCGTCACACATTGTACCCATGTCGGGAATCGAACCCGGGTCTTCGGCGTGACGAGCGAACGCTTTAACCACTAGGCTACCCGACCGCCCCTGCTCGTATAGAAGGCGACTACAGAAGACTTGTATATTTCCATGTATTTTCGCCCTCGGGAATGACCCTGAACCCATATTATCAATCAATGGGGGTGGGGGGTATTTTATATGACTTTTGAGATATGTTCCACACATACAGGGGCGGTCGGGTAGCCTAGTGGTTAAACCGTTCGCTCGTCACGCCGAAGACCCGGGTTCGATTCCCGTCATGGGTACAATGTGTGTAGCCCATTTCTGGTTTCCCCCGCCGTGATATTGCTGGCGTAAAGCCATACTCACTCACTCATTCCACACATACATATATGGAATATTTGCTAAATAACACGTAATATTATAAAACTTTATTTTCTTAATGTTTGTTTGTTGTTTAATGCCGCACTCAGCAATATTCCAGCTATGAATATAACGGCGGTCATGAATCCTATGAGAGTTACCTACGTATTCCTTAGCCTACTGCATTTTACTCCTGTAGACTGACACGTCAATTATTCACCGTGTACAATTCTAGAATTGAAATGCAGTGACGCAATTGCTAGACGGAATGGCATAAAATGTTCTGTATATCTACAGTGGTAAAGTTATCAATATTTTTCCATAATTAATCTTTTTCAAATTAATAGTTACATTGTGTAATATTTTTTTTAATGAACTAGATCAGTGGAGACATGCAGATGCGGTTTATATTACCATGAACATACTTCTCTATGAGAGTTACCTCCCTTATGCTTAGCATA